CGAGTGTTGCTGGTATACAAAGAGGTCAAGCACCTTGCCTATGGTCATGAAGCTAGATAGTAAATGTTGGGCATAGGACTTCGATCCACACCTTCCGGCTTTCAAGTTAGCCTTCGACTCACTCTGAAGATCCTTTAAGATCTAGACCTATGAACCCATGTTCTATGGACACACATGATATTAAATATATTTAAATATGTATTAACATGTAATATAAATAAAGTTTTACTTATCCTACATACTAAATTATAGACTTTTCTGTGGAATTCCATGTAACATCATCTGTACTACTACTTTGGGTATCTGTTTATCTAGTTATATTTTTAGCTATTTTATTTCTTTTTCACAAGCCCCGTGAAGACAGAGCCTATCCCCCCACAATAGATTTCCTTCTCCAGGGATTCTCACTTGCTCTCCCACATATCTAGAGAACACTCTCTCCTCATCTCTGTCTCCTGCTTTTCTGGTTTGCTTCAAATCCCTGTGAAAATCCCACCTTTTACAAGATGCCTTTCTTGATTCCTGTAAATGCTGTTGCTTTTATGACCATTTCCAGTTTATCCTGTCCATATATGGTTTATTCGTAGTTGGTTACTTGTCATCTCCCCTGTTAGACTGTGAGCTCCTTGGGAGTAAGCACTGGTTTTTGGCTTTCTTTCTAACCTCAGCACTTAGTACTGTGTGCACACAGTAGGCACTTCATAATTATTTGTTGACTGAGTGTTCCTATCTTTGCATTGCTCCCAGAACAGTGCTTTGTGCAAAGTAGGTGAATGTTTGTTGACTGTACCTCTTTCCCCCCTTACTCTCTACATATAGAGTTTGTAGTTCCTTGAAGGTAAATATCTTTTATTTTTGTCCATTTCTTAGTCTTCCCCAGCAATGAGGCCTTAGTTGTTGAGCTCTTAGTAAACATTTAGTAAATATTCATTAAATTGAATAGTTCATTTTTTTTTAACATTAGGAAGATAAGAATAGGGGAGAAAATGAACATATTAAGAAAATACCCATGCTGGAAAGTTCAACAAAATAATCAGTTGATTGTAGAATCGTAAATATGAAGCTGGAAGGCCCCTTAGAGGTCATCTAGTGCAGCCTTTCACTTTTAAAAAGGAGGCAATTGAGGCCCAGAGAGGAAAGCACCAACAGAACTTGTTTATTCTGTGAAAGCAGCCAGCAGTAGGTTTACAGAATCTTAGAGCTGAAGGTGATCCAAAGACCAACCACTTGAACTCCCATCGAAACAAGAATCTCCCCTACTACACCCCAAACCAGTGGTGACTGAACCTCCACTGACTCCCAGACCTCCAGTGATAAGGAACTCATTATTTCCTGAGCCAGCCCATTCCATTTTTTTTTTTTTGGACAGCTCCTACCTTAGGAAGCTTTTTCTTACATCAAAGAATCAAGTCTATCTCTCTGAAATTTCCACCCTTTGCTCCTATTTCTCCCCTGTGGGGCCAAGAACCATAAAGTGAACTCTTCCTCATGTCAGCCCTTCAAAAACATGAGAAGAGCTGACATCACTGTCCTGCCCTCTTCCTCACTGCTGTCCTCTCTCATCTTCTCTCGTTTAGTCTTGGTATCATTTTCAGATAGCTGAGTGCTAGTTATCTTTCCTATCCATTTTTTTGGCCAACAGTCAACAAACGTTTATTAAGTGCCTATTATGTAGCAGACAGCATACTAAGCACTGGAGAGACAAAAAAGAAAAAGAAAGTCAAATCCCTGTCCTCGAGGAGCTTACTTCTGATGGCAGAAGATAATGTACAGAAGGGGATGAAAAGGTGGGGGAGTGGGGATAGAGGGCCATCAGACAGTGCCCAGCATGGGGGTATGATGTTTATGGATGAAACCAAGCAGAACAGCTGGTGGGAAATGAGGAGTTGGCTAGAAATTCAGAGCCCCCTATAAAGGGAACCTTAGGGAAGAGCTCATTGCTCTTCCCTCCAGTCTTCAATCAGAGGGGGAGAGACTACTGAGGAGGAGGGTACTGAAAAGGTATGGAGTACCAAAGCTGAAGCACTCCCCATGATGATGAGATTTCTGGTGAAGAACTTATCCTGGGGGACACATGACTTTCATTCATGGAGTTGAAACCAAGAAGAGCCACCTGAAATGTTGGGAGGTTAAACCATTATATCCTAGAAGTCCAGTTGAAAATCCTTCTCAACCTAGCTATTATATTCCTTTCTTTTTTTTTTTTTAACTACCCAAGATAAGACTGACAGGTGAATGGAGTGCCAGAGTTGGAATCAGGAAGACATGAGTTCAAATGTTCTCTCAGACACTTCTTAGCTGAATGACAACAATTCAGTTTTGATCCTCAGTTTCCTTTCCTGTAAAATTGGAATGATAATAGCACATACCTCATAGGACAATTGTGAGGATCAAAAGAGGTAATATATGTAAAGTGTGCTTTGTAAACCACATACATCAGAAGCTATTATTCTTTGTAATTAGCATATTATACATTTCAAACTCTTATATGACTATCTATTTTCATTTGAAAGTGAGCAACTACTTTAAAATTCTCTTAGAATTATTGTAATAAAAAAAACTGCGGACACCTTACAATTCATGTGACATGTAAGTTCTAAAGCACAATTAACATAAATCCTGGAGCCCCGCATTAATTAAATGTGGGTCCGCAGACAGTATCTTTGTATCCATAATTGTGTTTTTTGTTATAGAAAGTGTATGAAAGGATATGAACACAGAAATAAATTTCATATTACATTATATAAAGAGTCCTGTGGGCGTAAACAGGGCAGTTATGAGCCACAATGCTACTCAAGCTGAAATGAACAATGGAAAATAAAAATGAGGTGCATTAACATATGAATCAAGTGATTCTGAAAGGTCATCTTCCCAGATCTGGGTTAGGTTTTGTTTGGGTTTTCATTGTTAGTGTTCTAAAATTTCAACATGGAAAATAAAATCCATAAATATTAATAAATGGAAGTGAGCGTCATGACAGATAAAATACAAAGCACCTTGGGCTTCTCATTGTCCTCATATATGGCTGGGATTTGGACAATGTATCTTATCACGAGCTGGGAGCAGGGTTATTTGTCTAATTCCTAACCTGAAGCATCTTTCAGGAACTGCTTTGCTTGGGCCCCCTGAGTAACTGAACTACTACCATTCTTCCCACCCATTCTGCCTTTCAATTTACCCATTATGGCAACCCCATAGTTGCTAATTATTCCCAGTAATTGGAATTCTATTTTCCTTCTCATTTAATTTTTGTATCACTTTTTGATTTTCTCTCTTCCAACTTTCTGTTCACACCTTGACTTCTTTGCCTAATAAATGTTTGTTGAATTTGAAATTCAACTGTGGAGAGTTTTTAGGGAACAGAAGCTTTTATATCATAAACATTGAGGGCAAAGGGGCAAGAGGAAGCATGGTGGCTGGTCAGTCAACAAGCATTTATATGGGGCTTACTATATGCCAGGCACTGTGCTAAGCATTGGGGGTTCAAAGAAAGGCAAAAGCATGGCTCCTGCTCCCAGGGTACCAATGTTCTAGTGGGCAGAGGGGAGAGGAAGCAAGGATACCATGGAACAAGCACATTTATTCAAAAAATGATACTATTGTAAAGAAAAATAACTCTGAAAAACTTGAAAACTCTGATCAATGCAATGACCAGTTTTGATTAGGAGGAGTCATAATGAAGTCTGCTACCTGCCCCCTGATGGAGAAGTGATGGGTTGTACCCTACTACAGAATGAGACTTGCTTTTTAGAAACAGCCAGCGTGAGAATTTGTTTTCCTGGACTACGTGTATTTGTTAGAAGAGCTTTGTTGTATGTGTGTGTGTGTGTTTTTTCCCCTAGAAGAACTGTGAGAGGGCAAGTGGGAATGAGGAGAGGGTAGCCCAAAAGCAAAAGAGAAAAAAGAGTGATAGAAGATTTTTAATGCAGAGAAGAGTAGGGAAGAAAGGCCAGAAAGAAGCCCACTTCTTTCTGAGGTCTTGCACTTTAGTTTTCTCTATTGATTTCTGTATCCCTGAAGAAAGTCACTTAGCCTCTCTAGGTTTCAGAGGGTCCGTTTTAAAAATAGAATCTCTATGACTAGAGAATCCATCACCAAGAAGTTGATCGAGTGTTAACGAATCTCTCCATAATTTGTTAAGCTGGTCCTGAGAGAACAGAGTGTCTTCACGTGACTCTCCTTGAATCCTGCAATCCTGTTCAGTACTTAGGACAGTGCTCAGAACGTAGCAGGTGCTTAAGGTTTATTGAGTGATTGGTAGAATCTGCCAGAGTTTGTGCTTTTCTGGAGTAGCCTTTGAGAATCCAAGACCACCTCCACATAATGGTGAAGCATTGGAGAGGACCTCATGATGGAGATAGTAGTGATATTTGCCCTTATCTTGCCTATGGGGATTTATGGAAACACTACACATGGCAGTAAGGTAGCACAGTGGGTAGAGAGGTCACACAATGGAGTCAGAAAGACCTAAGTTCAAATCCTGTCTCAGATATTAATTTGATGTGTGACTTAGCCTTTCTCAGCTTCAGTTTCCTCATCTTTGAAATGGAGGTAATAATAACATCTACCTCATAGGATTGTTATGAGGATCAAACAAGAAAATATATATATATATATAAAGCTGCTTTGCAAACCTTAAAATGCTAGGGAAATACTAGCAATGATGTTGATGATGATAATTTGAACACTGTTCCTTTTTTTAAGGTCACTTACTAATACTATTTATCGAATTCATAACTATACTAAGTAGGATAAAGCTAATGTCTACTACAGTCCTGACAAAGCAGAAATTTCACTTGAAAAACAGTTTTGAAAATTCACTTTGTCATACTGTCATCATTGGCACAGATCTCTCAGGTTCCCCAGTTGGGTTTGATCAGCTCTCTTACTTGTATTGATTAATGCCGTTTCAATATAAGTACTTAGGACCAGATTTCAAATGGCTCCCTTTACATACTTAATGAAAACACGGACTTTCAGCCCTCAATCAAAGCACCTACCACTCTTGCGAATTCTCTCTTCTAACAGGTCGGTATGTCCCACAGGAAGTTTCTTATTGAAAATCTCTGCTGAACGGAGGAACATGGCTTCAACTGCAGACCCCTTCAGCAAAGCAATCTGATCTTCATGGTCTAAAGTTTGGAATCCTGGAGAAAGAATGAGATTGAATTGTTGCTTAGTACAGCACCTAGCAAATAGCAGGTGCTTAATAATCTTATTGATTAATAATAATGACAATGATGATGATGATGATGATAGCAAAAAGCTAACATATGTTAATATTAGGGCAGCTAGGTGGCACCATAGTGCAAAGTACCAGACCTGAAGTCAAGACGACTCATCTTCCTCAGTTCAAATCTGGCCCCAGACACTTACTAGCTGGGTGACCCTGGGCAAGTCACTTACTCCTGTTTGCTTCAGTTTCCTCATCTGTATAATGAACTGGAGAAAGAAACGACAAACCACTCTAGTATCTCTGCCAAAAAACTCCAAATAGGGTCACTAAGAGTTGGACACAACTGAAATGACTGAACAACCAAAACATTTATATAGCACTTACTATGTGGCAGGCATTATGCTAAGTGCTTTACAACTATTATGCCATTCTTAGAATAATGTTATGAAATACATAGCAGAGGCAGCTAGGTGGTACAGTGGATAAAGTATGGGGCTTAGAGTCAGGAAGTCCTGAGTTCAAATATAGCCTCAGACAAAAGTCACTTAACTTCTGTTTGTCTCAGGTTCTTCAACTGTAAAATGGGGAAAATAGCACCTACCTCCCAGGGTTGTTGTGAGAATAAAATGAGATAATACTTGTAAAGGGCTTAGCAAAGTGGCTGGCACATGGTAGACACTTAATTTATGCTACTCCCCTTCCTCCCTTCCTTCCCCCTTCTTAATCTGTCAAAGGGGTCCATGATACAGAAAAAAGGTTGAGAGCCCCCTAAATCCTGAAAGCAGGCTTCTGCCTACTCGGTGGACCTTGAGCATACAGACAAGAGACACAGAGTATGAGAAGCTATGCTTTGCTGGAATCTGCTCTGGGCTGGGGGGCCAAGTCAATGAGATCACAGTACTGTGATGTTTGATGTATTTTACATGTAGAATGTTTAATTTGATCAACTATTCCAAAGCAATGAGCCACCTGGGTTACAGATTTTTCTAGATACCATTACAGAAATGGCCAAAAGAAATGTCCATATCCTTCTTTTCTCAATTCCGCCGCCCATCACTCCCAACTTTCATGAATATGTAATCTTGTGTTTTGATCATGAGAGATTGCCTTCAACTCAATTAGCATATAACAAATTAAATTCTTCTTTCAGAGTTAATAAAGAAATGAGAGAATGTTCACGTTTCAATGATAAGCGAGTACTTTCTCCCCACACTTTATGAATTTTGCCCAAGCCCATGTTAATCCAAAAAGTTAGATGCAAGAAAATCAATAAAATAGCACCACAGGCCAAGGAAAGAAAAGGTAGATTAATATGTCTAACAATAAGTCTATGTCAAAAAATAGCTTCACTGACTAGCTTGAAATATTTCAAGTTGTGAAAAATACAAATGTATTTTGTCCCTTACACAGCTGACAAAGTGAAGTTTCCAAGGCACAGATCTGACCATGTCACTCCCCTGCCCCCAAATCACCAGTGGCTCCCTATTGCCTCTAGGATCAAATATGAACTCCTCTGTTGAACATTTAAATCCCTTCACAGTTTGGCTTCTGAGTAGCTGGCCAGACTTATTGCCCAGTACTCTTTTTCATGCATTCTAGCTGGACCCCAGACCAATTGGCCTTTGAGCAATATTCATCATCTACAACATTCTCTTTCCCACCTCCACCCCTTTGTCCTCACAGTCCCTCATACATGGAATGCTCTTTCTTCTCACCTCAATCTCGCAGCGAGATGCTTCAGATCTCACCTCCATCATCACCTCCCTCTTGAGGGATTTAATTTGTGAATCTCCCCAAGTGCCCATGTTCCCACATGAAATTACTTTATATCTGTTTTGGATACCTGTTGTATTTCTTTTTATATGTATATGTTGTTTCCACTAAAAGACTGTAAGATTATGGAGGGCAGCAACTATTGGGGTGTCTTTCTATATATCCTCAGCCTATAGTCTAGCCCACAGTAGACAATAAATGCTTGTTGCTTGTAGACCATTAGGCTCAGAGGATTTAGATCCAGAGGAGATCTAATTAAATGCTATCATTATTCAGATGAGGAACTGGAACATTTTTTCGAGTCCACATAGACAATCAATATTAGAGTCTAGACTTGAACCTGGGACCTCTGATACCCAAATCAATACTCGTGTCATTATATTGAGGTCCCTTTGATAAACCTTGTTATACTGTAACCTTGGGGATCTCACTTATTTATTCTGGGACTCAGTTTCCTTATCTGTAAAATGAAGCTGGATTAGATGATACCTAAGGTCCCCTATGGGATGGCTCTAAAATATGATCCTACAGTGCAATGTATACAGTACTGGACTGGAAGTCAGAAAGACCCAAATTCAAATCTAGCCTCAAATATTTTTTGGTTGTACAACCCTGGGTGAGTCACTTTATCTGTCTCAGTATCTTCATCTGTAAAATGGGGATGATAATAATAGCACCAACCTCCCAGGGCTGTTTTGAGGATACAATGCGATAATATTTGTAAAATGCTTTGCAAACCTAAAAGTGCAATATAAATGCTAGCTATCATTATTATTAATAATAACAATAAACAAAAATGTTTACCTTAAAAATGAGATGTTTATACTACTAAATACAGTGTAGCTCTACAACCAAGATATCTTCATTTCTTCCATATATGAATGTACTTATAAATACTTGAGGAAACCAACCAATTTGTGACATACCTGGTAATTTTTTTGTGAATTCCACAAGGACCTGCACATGACTGGTAGCCATTTCAGTTAAGATGAGAAAATTCTCTTCTGCACTGAATTCCTCTTTTAACTAAACATTAAGAATAAGGGGGGGGGATTAAAAAAAAGAATAAGAGGAACAAATTACAAAATTCAAACACTTGGGATGATGTAAAATCACAGAAGAAAAATTAAACCAAATTTTTAAAAAATCTCATCTCCCATTTGAAAATGCTCTCTGTTTCTTAGGGCCTAACCTAAAACTCTTTGCTAAGCTAGTAATGACATTAGGCAAACATGTATTTCTTGCCGTCCCATTGTCAAATATTGCTAATTAGACCTTTATTATCTAATTTTGATTCTCATTGAGAAGGACTTAGATAAATTCTGCTGCCAAAGGTGGCTGGACTGGTTTTCAGACATTTTACTCACAATTTTATTAGTTATTTCTTGACCATGTAATAGGGCATAAAACCTCAAAATCAAATACAAAAAGGCAGAAATATTAAATGTATTCCTTTTGGATCATAATGTAATAAAAATCACATTCAACAAAGGATAGTGGAAATATAGATTAAAAATTAATTGGAAACTAAATAATTTCATCCTAAAGAATAAGCAGGTCAAAGAACAAATCCTAGAAACAATCAATAATTTCATTAAAGAGAATGACAGCATTGTCAAATATTGCTAATTAGGTCTTTCTTATCTAATTTTGATTCTCATTGAGAAGGACTTGGGCATATTCTGCTGCTAAAGGTCGCTGGACCAGTTTTCAGATATTTTACTCACAATTTTATTAGTTATTTCTTGAGGCATCCTCTGCTTCCTGTAGGCATCCATAATATAATAGAGAAGGTTCTGTTGGTCTGGAGTAAGTTCTATTTTCTCCTATACTGGCAAGAAAAAAACACCCACAAGTTTCAGTGTCAGCGACAGGTCATAAGAGAGAAGGAAATTTGTGTCTTCTCCATGTATTAATGGGGGAATATTTTTTAAAAGAGGACAAAGAGCAAGGGGATGTGAGTCCTGATATATTTTGTTAATGCCCATTTAAAAGTTATAGAACTCTGGAATGACTTACTTTCTCATCTGTAAAATGGGGGTCTCACTTATAATCCATGAGCAAGCTGAGGGGTGTCATAAGAATAAATTACATGGGTCAAAGGATAGGAACAGGCAGTTTTCTGAAGAAGAAATCCAAACTATCAACAGTTACATGATGAAAATGTTCTAAATCACTATTGATTAGAAAAACACAAATTAAAACAACTCTGAGATACCATCTCACGCCTATAAGATTGGCTAATATGAAAGGAAAGGCAAACAACAAATGCTGGAGGGGATGTGGAAAAGTAGGGACACTAATATACTGTTGATTGAGTTATGAACTGGTCCAACCATTCTGGAAAATAATTTGGAACTATACCCAAAGGGTAATAAAACTGTACCCTCAATTGTCTCAGCAATACCACTACTAAGTTTGTATACCAAGGAGATCAAAGAAAAAGGATAATGATCCATATAAAAATATTTATAGCAGCTCTTTCTGTGGTGGCAAATAACTGGAAACTGTGGGGATGCCCATCAGTTGGAGAATGGCTAAACAAGTTGTGCTGTATGATTGTGATGGAATACCATTGTGCTATAAATAATGATGAAGGGATGGTTTCAGATAAACCTGGGAAGATTCATATGAACTGATGCAAAGTAAAGCGAGCAGAACCAGGAGAACATTGTACATAGTAACAGCAATATGGTAAGGATGATTAACTGTGAAGGACTTGGTTATTCTAATTTGAATTGGTAGAAGGAATTTCCTTTCCAGAAGTTCCATCCACCATTAAGTTAACAGGTTGGTGAAAATAAGCGAACAAAAAAGTATTAATAAGCACTTCAGGAAAGTAATGATTTTTTAAGTCAATTTTTTGCTAATGTTCTGGGGAAATCCTTAAATAGTGAAAAACTATATTATTTACCCCAGTTGTTCCCTTGTGTTTACTTTATAGTCTAATATAAGCTCCTTAAGGACAGGGACGTTTTTGTCTTTTTATTCACAGCATAGTGCCTGCCACCTAGTAGTTACTTAATAAATGCCTGCTGATTGGTTGATTTGTATTTACTAATCTGTGTAAATCTTGTATCTTTCAGGAGGTTGCAGGCTCCTTGAAGGCTGGAACCAATTCACTTTTGAAGTGAAGCACTGAGCATTGTGCTTGGTACATAGTAAATAGTTTGTTAATCCTTGTTATTTGATTGACATTTTCTTCTCTAGGTACATGCTGTATCCCTCACAAGAAGGTAAACTTGAAGGCAGGGATTGTCTCATTTTTAGCGCTTCATTGCTAGCACCTGGTACCCCATAGGTGCTTAATAAATGTTTGTTGAATTAAATTGAATTTGGTGTGTGGGGAATCATTATGTTTTGTGACAGGAGAGCCATGACCAGTATCAGAAATGCTGCGACGAATTGTCATCTTGATCTTATTTTTTCAATGCATTACAAAAAACAGTTCTTACAATTGGCAAACCAGCTGGTTCAATCAACAAAACAGGCTTGCCTAGATTCTCCTCAATGATTCAGAAAGGCAGCTTGGTGTAGATGAGAGTGCAGCCAATCTCGGGCCAGATATCCTGGGTTCAAATCCCACCTTTAACTATCTCTTCTGAACTTTGACAAATGACCTGACCACTCTAGGCCTCCAGAATGGTTTTTATAATAAATTTTATTAGCATTCTTAGCTCATGGGTTATACCAAAATTGGTGGAGGGCCAGATCTGGCTCTTGAGCCACGGTCTGCCCAATCACCGGCTTAAGTAACCAATGTGGAATCAGCAGGGAATGCTTTGATAACCATGGAGACACTATTGTTCCAAAGAGGTTATTTTGGCCTTTGTCTCCACTTATGTTGCTATTGTTGTTCAGTCGTTTCGATCATGTTTGACTCTCCGTGACCCCATTTGGGGTTTTTTTTGGCAAAGATACTAAAGTGGTCTGCCATTTCCTTCTCCAGCTCATTTTACAGATGAGGAAACTGAGGCAAACAGCATGAAGTGACTTGCTCAGGGTCACACAGCCAGTAAATGTCTGAGGCCATATTTTAACTCAGGAAGATGAATCCTCCTGACTCCAGATCTGGCGCTCCATCCACTGTGTCACCTAGTTGCCCCCATGTCCACCTAGGTATTACCTCTGTCTACCCCACACCTCTGCCAATTTTCATCTCCCTTCCAAGTGCCCAAAGATAAGAGAATTTGAGCAGTTCGAATAATCTTTATGGTAATGTCCAACCAACCTGCTGGTTTTGGATTCAAATTATAATCATTACTCACATGACCCGTGTAACAGGAGTGTGATGAATGGCTACGATGTAAGTCAAAAAGCATTTTCATCTAGCCCCTACAAGAAAGGCCTCTCCTATTCACTGGCAATGAGTTGGAATGAAGCAAAGGAACAATCACCAGAAAGGGCATCCCCTGAAATCATGATTAAATGTGGTTACCCTGTACGACTTGGTTGTCGATGTCACCTGTCTCAGCTCAGGCCCTTCGCCGTCGTCATTGGCTGACCGATTGGAAGGCGGCTTCACGTTCTTTCTCAGTCGTTTCGATTTACATTGGATTTCAGTTAGCAAGCCTGAAATATTTTTAAAAATACATGGACTTACAGACTTTATTAGTCACAGAAGATGCTGCTGGGCAGTCATAGTCTTCATCTACCATTAGGAAGGACTGTTTTATCCCGATTATTTCAACCTTTAGACATGGAGGTTCAAATATGAATGAATGAAAGAAAACAAATCAGCTAAAAAGTTAAATACCTCTGAAATTAATTCAATTCAACAACTTTTACTGAGCACCTACTATGTACAACCCTCTGGCCCAGGTAAAGACCAAAAAACTAAACCACACCTGCCCTCAAGCAGCTTATAACATACCAGGGCGCGGTTACATGTTCCAAGTTGATGATAATAGTTAATATTTATATATAAAACTACTCATTTTCTCATCACAACAAAGCCTGTAAAGTGGTACAATTGGTATCCCCTTTTTACAAATAGGGAAATTGCACAGAATTACCCAGCTAATAAGCATCAGAAATAAGATTTGAACCCAGATCCTTCTACCTTCATGTCCCCCACTTTTTCTCACTAGAATCCCAAGGGTTCTTAACCTGGAGCCCATGAATTTATTTTAAAATATTATTTTGACAAGAGGACTTCACTATAAGTGGTTTCCTTTGGAATTCTGTGTCTTTTATTTCATGCCTTTAAAAGCCTGAGGCTTCAGCAGACAGTGCCAAGGGGGTCCGTAACACAAAAGGATATGAGAAGCCCAGCACTGAACCATATTGCAGATTGTCATTACAAAGTGTGCATTTTCTACAAGTTCATACAAACAAATTTTAAGGAGGAGAGAGCATTAATAGCTGGACGGATCTAGAAAGGTCTTGCTTGTTTAGGAAACAGCACAAGGATAAGTGACTTGCCCAGGGTCACACAGCTAGTAAACATCTAAGGCCAGATTTGAACTCAGGAAGATGAGTTTTTCTGACTCCAGGCTCTGTGCACTATGGCATCACCTACCTGCCCCTTATGACCACTTATGTGGACCATCTCTTTGTTCACTCCACATCTCTGCCATGATAAATGTTCTTCTGCACACATTTATTTTCACTATGATCATGTTTTCTAGGGGGAAAAATCTCCCCAAATCATACGTAAATTAAGCACATATCCACATATGACTGGAGTCCAAATCATGAAGACATAATTGGGTGTTATATTTGCTATTAGAATGTAAGTTCCTTGAGGGCAGGAACCATGTTTTTGCGTTTCATTGTATCCCCACCCAGAGGGGCTGGCACCTAGTCAGTGATTAACAAATGCACTGACTGGCTAGATATTATGTTTGCTAAAGTTACTTGTGCCTTTCTCCTCTCCCCCATAAGAGACCAATGAAATCTGGCTGGTGTGAGCTATGTTCTTTGGTATCCGAATTCTGAAGGATGAATCGGCCAGATGCACTCTGGTGAGGGAAAGGGAAAGTGAAATTGGGGAATAACTAGAGGCTGATAGAGAAACAGATTTCAAAAATCATCAGGAAGAATTGAGTACGTGGTGAGAGCGGTGGGGAAGGAACCTCTCTTGGCCCTTTGTCCTGGGCAGAGTGCCAAGATTAAAGGGAGTCTAATTCAGGGAAATTCCATGGACAAAATCTAGGAAAGCCTCCAAGCCACGGGTGGTTGACTACAAAGAGCATGGTACCCATGACAACCCTGGAGCTCAGATAGGAAGGACCAAAGTTTCTCAGTAATCAAAAACTCTGGGGAAGCAAGCTCTGGGGGGCCTCCCCACTCCAATCCACCATCCATTCGGCTACTAAAGTGATTTTCCTAAATGCAGTTTGGATTCCCTCTCTCTCTCTCTCTCTCTCTCACACACACACACACACACACACACACACACACACACACACACACAC